TGCCAAAATTTACATATCGATCGTATTAAACGATGGCCGCTATCTTGTGGCAGCTTGTAGCGGCATGCGTGTATCGATGATGTCACTACTTGAGCACTTATTACGAAACGAAAAACATTACTACGATTGCGTATCATATCTGAATAGGTTTCTTATGAATTAAAAGAAGTTTAGTATATGTAGACCCACCGAATGCTGCGTTAGGCGAATTCTTTTCTCCCTCACTTTACTGCGCGAGAGAGATTACATTATCGTCAGACAGAGTTACAAAGTGTTACAAATAAAAAGATAAAGCATAAGTATTAAATAATGTATTCTCTTTATCTTTTTTGATAATATCTCTTTGATATAGCTCTTATAATGATTTTTTAATAATATTTTGCAATAGTCGGTTTGCAAATATTATTTTAAAGAATAATTTACGACTTTAAAATATCAATTACACAGTTCAACACAATTGTGGCCTACGAACGAAACAAATGATGTCCAACGTATTTTTGGTCGCTGAAAACGATTCCGCATTCAGAATTTGCCTATCACATCACATTTCCATGAAAAATAGGATAAAATAGGTTAAAAACGTCGATTTTGATCATATTCAACACGTTGTTGCGTCAAAGATAATTTTTTTTAAGGAAATTCTTATCTCATTTTTTATGGAAATGTGACGTGATTGGCAAATTCTGAAAGCGGGATCATTTTCGGCGATCAAAAATATGTCGGAAACCGTTGGTTTTGTTCTTAGGCCAAAAAGTTTGTCTATTTTTGTTGTACTGTGTTATTACTCTTGTGAATCCAAATTATGAGACATGTCTTATTTATTTTTACCTTAAATATTTCCATTCAGGATTGTCTATGCCGAAAAGATTGTAGCCGCTCATTTTGTCAGCGTTGCTTCTTGCAACGAAATGATGATTCGGAAACACATTAAAATCTTTGATCATTATTTGCTTTATCAGTTCCAAATTCCTCACGAGCAAAAATGGCTTGAATAGAATGTAAATTCCCAGGACATCCTCGTCGTTCCCTTGCTGATACAGTTCACCGAGAACCACTCCTGGCGGTTTGCGCATCAGGATCGCGTCTTTGAAGTGACCGAAGAACCAATGTGTGGGCAACGAACGTATCCCGCGTCTCTGCCAGTAGGAATGCTCCCACTTTATCCACAGGTAAAGCGTTGCCAAAAGCGATGAAAATATCAAAAATATATCCAAATAGATTCAGTTGGTCAATATCGCCATGTTCTGCAAGCTGCGCAAAATTCACTCCAATAAAATTCTGCTCAAATCGTCCGCACCAAACTTGGTACAAAAGTCTATTTACAAATACGACTTTGAGAACTGATTTCTGATAAAATTTTCTGTGTAGAAAATTTGGTAAGATTGTGCGATTGAATTTTATGTGTAAATTGGACACAATTTGGCGTAAGCTTTAGAAAAACCGCAAGATACAAAATACATCGCATATTAATGTAAAACGTTGACTCAAAGACATAGGAGTTTATCGAGAAACTTATCAAGAAATTTATCGAGAAATTTATCAGCTTATTATTGAATAAAGTAGTCGTCTGACTCATGCATAGTATGATAACATTCACATTGCAGAATTATGCATTAACATTACCGTATTTGTATAACTACACAATCAAATCATGGACGGCTGCTTAATTTCAAACCTTGAATTTTTGATCAAACTTCAAATCTTTGTACATATTTGGAAACTATTATTCGGAATAAGAAAATCGCATGCACTTATTTAGTTTTACGCAAAATTTGCTTACGTTTCTCTATTTTAAACTCTACTTGTAACACTTTGTAACTCTGTCCGACGATAATGTAATCTCTCTCGCGCAGTAAAGTGAGGGAGAAAAGAATTCGCCTAACGCAGCATTCGGTGGGTCAACATATACTAAACTTCTTTTAATTCATAAGAAACCTATTCAGATATGATACGCAATCGTAGTAATGTTTTTCGTTTCGTAATAAGTGCTCAAGTAGTGACATCATCGATACACGCATGCCGCTACAAGCTGCCACAAGATAACGGCCATCGTTTTAATACGATCGATATGTAAATTTTTGGCATTTATTGCGAAGAAAATGATTTTCACCACTGAATTTTAACAAAGTGTTTTTACTCTTTTAAATCTTCTGTCAGCAATTAGAAATATATATAGCATAATTTATTTTAATCTTATTTTTAAGATCACTGTTAAGATTAGAATAAATCACCTTGTTTGTATCCCTGTTTTTTTAACGCTCTATAAATTTATATCGAAAAAAATGCGTGTCACATCTGAAGATGTTCATTTCGTAAGTCTCTTTGCATTGACATGAGTTTACACTGATTAATTGTTGCTCTGGCATCCCGAGTCGAAATTTAAAACCTACTATAAACCTCATACATGGTTATTTGTGCCTCTAATAATGTTCCTTGACCTACAAGTTCTATCTTGAAAGTGTTATGTCTTCTTTTGGCCTTTCTTTAATCTTGTTGTCCTAGAAAACTCTTATTTTTATTGTGTTAAATATACAATTCCTACTTTCGTTCTTACAACTCTTACCTCTTTTGAATCTCCAAATCTTATCGAAATTTCTAGCAATAAAAATATTAATATTTAATCTATAATTGAGTTCAATTTCTATTATTTCAGATTAATATAATAAATGTTATAATATAAAATAAATAATAACAAATGAATAGTAAAAAATATTTTAAAAAATTAAGTGCAACTCAGTATTATATTTAGTATTATAAATAACTAAAAATTTATTCGAATAAACAAAAAACAATTAAAATTCAAAATTTTATTTAATATTTTATTACATATTTGACCTATAATTCGAAATTATTTAATATTCTATTACCACATTTACTTGTATTTAATGCATATCTTAATTTCAATAAACGCAATACATTAATTATGTAATTTACTTAACTGCAGATAGATATGTAAGAGATAAGTGAATATTATTTATATAATATTTGCTTATAGTAGTCTATTTACAGTTA